CTTCAGCATGAACCCAAAGCTCGTGCAAATGACGAGGAGCAACGGCGGAGGAGGATTCGACTTGAGCCAATAGTTGCTCCTTTTCGGCCTCAAGAGCAGCGACCCGGTCCCCCAGGGTCGATGCCTCTTGGTCGATCTCGCCAATGCGCTCCTCAAGCCTCGCTTCCCTTAACGTGGCCGTCGCCCTCTCCAATTCCTGCTCGGATTGGAGGACGTGGATGGTGTTCTCTAAAGCCGCAGCCCTCGCCAAAGCCGATGACCAAGAACTCTCGATATTTTCCAAACCGGCAACTTTTCTCTCCAACTCGCTCAACTTCCCCATCCACTCCGCGCTCATCGCCTCAACCCTGATAAGGTTCTGATCCATCTCTGATTGCATAGACCTTAACTTCTCCTGAATATGTTCGCACTCTGCAGCAACCCCATTGCCCAGCTCAAGCTCTTCATCCTTGGCACGAAGTTGCTCCTCGAGTACACTACTCCTGCGGATAGCCTCCATCAGTTGCTGGTCCCTCTTCTCCAGCTCCTCGCCAAGGGATCAAGCAACAGGGTTCGCCCTCAGCCGCTCGTGCATCTCACGACACTTATCGCGATAGCACCATATTTCCCCAGCATCGTCAGGAAAATCTTGGGCCGAGTATCAGCTCTGTGAGCACTCTCAATCTCCACCGTGTACGTCTGGAAAACGAAAAAACAGGCTAAGGCCAGGCCAGCAAGAAAAGCGAAAGGAACATAAAAGGAAAATGAAACGTACCCTCAAGCCCATAGCGGCCACTTCGTGCATCAAATTAATATCGGGAACGTTACGAAGAGCCTCGCTCTCAGTGGCGGAGCACAAGAGATCAAACTGCGGCACTAGGTCCTCCGTATCTCCCAAAAGGTTGATATCCGACGGAATCTCTAGAATACGGGACGACCCTCCCGCCTAAACCACCGAACGGGTAAGACCCTCCTCAAACATCCTAACATCATCAGGATCAAGATCAGACTCGAATTCGTAGTCGTCGACCACGATACCCTTTCCCCTTTCTGCGGCCGAGGAAGAAGCACGACCAGGTACCGAAGACGAAGGTCCGTCCAAAGTAGTAGCAACGGCCTCAGAAATCTGACCCCCCACCACGACCGTTGGCAGATTGACCACAGCTGCGGGAACTTCCGTCGATGGGTCGGACACAACAGCTGGCACTGCCCCTATAGGTGGAATGACATTGACTCCCGCCTCAGATCCCGTCAAGGGAAGGTCTTCCTCTAAATATATCACAGTTGAAGGAGCCGTTTCGAACTCCACTCGCCGTCTCTTTGATGGATCCTCTCTTTCCTCGGCACGGGAAGATTCCCTCACTAGGGAGGTGATAGGGGCTGGCCTCTCAGGTCGAGGGGTGACTTCCGCGCGTACAGCCGTAGCCGTAGATTCGACTGAAGCGGCCTTTGATGAAGGTCGGGTAGAAGATACCAAAGCAGGACGAGAGGACGAGGCAGGTTGACAAAAAGCTAATGGAGAAGCCCTCGCTCTCCGCACTCTTCTTGGCATCGACAAACATCACATAGGAAACCAAGTAAAAAGGGAAGGAGAAGGAAGAGCGAACAAAGACAATATTACTCACCAGTAAGGGCTTGCGTCCATATTTCTCATAGAAAGACGACCATGTACGGACACCCGCCATATGAGGAAGGATGACGCTCACCCACTTGCGGATACCATCAACAGGTGCAGGAGGTAGCTTCGCGGCTGTAAAAACACAGTTTAGTATTACCAAAAAAAAAGCGGTCAAACATTATCCCGACAAAAGGCATAGAAACTTACGGGCGAAGTTCCATATCTTAGGGAACCCCGTAGGATCTGCCACAAGGTGTTCGGTCCGCACATAAATGTAATTCTCGTAGAAGCGATGGTTGGCTCTATCGTCCATCTTCACCACCAGACTCTTCATCCCTCGGTGACGCATGTGAATCATCGTGCCACGAATGAGTTGAGGGGCGAAAATATTGAGCATATGCCTCAAAGTGATCTCACGACCAGCAAGCTCCGCAAACTTGAGCAGCATGAGGAACAATTTGTACAGGTACGGCGAAAGTTGCGCTGGGCATACCTCGTAAAAGTGGCAGAAATCTACCACCAAGAGAGGAAGAGGAAGCGTGTATCCGACAATAAAGGGGTAGGCGTAGAACGTGCAATACCCTAGGCGATCAAAATGGACTATGTCGTCCCCCACCGCTGGCAGTATTTCAACGTGGCGAGGGATCCCCCACCTAGCCTTCAATTCTGCGATCCCCTCCTTAGTTATGACGGATGGAGCAGGTTTCGGCTCCTCCCCGGCGGGGCTGTGAAAATTGCTCCACGCTTTTCCAGGGCGAGGCAAGATCTCAGCCACCGATGGGACCTCCTCATCTTCTACCACTTCTGGTCCTCCAGTGGCCAGAACATCGTTTTCCGGCATCGGAGTTGGGGAAGAAAGGTCAGCGCGAGAAGAATCGCCAGCCATTTGGATCAATTTGATAAAGCAAAAGAATAAAGAAAAGGAAAGACGAAAATTCCTTGCCAACTAAAGGAAATCAAAAATCCGAAGTATCGGGAGGAAAGAGGATTCGCAAAGTTTTCTTAAGCAAAGGCAAAGAATGCGTCAAATCGAATGGTGCAGTCCTATTTATAAGAGACATAAATTTTCCGAGCACGAAATCCAAGAGTCGCCAATTGAGGTTGATAGGGCATGAAACGGTTTGACCCCCTAGTAACGTGTGTCATAATGGAAGGTAACAATAAACAACGCTTCAAGACAAATGATGTTCAGGTTCCAAAAATGACCAAAGTGGTTCGAGGATATCGAAAGGACGTCGTCGCATTGCCAGAATCTAAAGACCACACCCAAGGGATAGGTGATCAGATTTCTCTTAGATACATAATAATTATAATCCGCCTACCAGGACCGACAAAAGACGACCCCGGCAGGCGGAGGGACTAACTGTATTGGTCAAAATCTGATCGCTGCAGTCAGCCTGACCAAGATCCCGTCCAAGCGACGGGATAGTGAGAGACGACATGGTTTGCTCCAAAACCCCGGACTCATAACACGCACCGTGATAAAGAACGACAATAAGGGAATGACGAAAGCGGACGTTGTGCGAATCTGTATTGACCCATAGCGAGCGTTCCATAACTATACATAGGGGAGGAGTCTCCCAATACATGGGGGGCTTCTGGTTCTCTCTCTCTCCCTTTTTCTCTCATCTGTAATCTGGTTCTCTCTCTCTCCCTCCCTTTTTCTCTCATCTGTAATCTCCATCGTAAAAGGAAGAACGAAGCAATCCCCAAGAGAACATGTAAAATGGTTTCATCCATTGATTAATGAGATCCATTATGGAAAGTTTCAAGAATATTGGTTACCTCTATTTCATCTTATGTATTGATTTTCCCAATTAATTTATTGATCTGGAATTTATTATGTTTAACTAAGATTTACCCCTTCATTCTCTTTGATTGATTTGTTCAAAAAGATTCTAATATCTTTTGAATTAAATAGTGGCTAATTACTTTTCTTCTTAGTTATTAAAGCAGGAATCTTCAAATCAAGATATAGACTGATCAAAATAATTTGAAAATATTGATTGATTATTATACTTGTGAGTAACTCTTTTTACATGATTTAGTTCTATTTTATTTCTCTAACAAATGTTACTATTAGAATACCTATGCAATTAAATTTTTAATATCTTTCGTACAAATTATGTGATATTTGACTTAAAATATTCGTGTAACGCACGAGTATAGAGACTAGCACTATATTAAAAGTACGAAGGCCATTAGCGAAATATCGTTCGCCTTTTTGTACCCTTTAAAAATATATTTTACATTGGATAAAATTGTAAAATCATAAAACTTACCTAATATTTAGGAGTTTGAAATCAAATAAATTGTTCCGAATATAACTCTGTATTGGAGATATTTTCCTAATAAGGCTGCACGAACTATTAATAAAATAAAAATGAATGCAAAAAATTAGGCGAAAAGTTTTTTTTTTCCAACAACGAACTCGCCGATCTGTGTAAATCTTTTATTCTTTATGATTAGTATTTATTTATACCGGACCAATTTTGCCTCTTTAATCCATTCATATGAACAGTTTGTTGTTCGTATGATTTTAATAATAAGTATTCCTTAGAAGCTTGGCTGTCTAATTCGTTTCTTTTCTACTCTTAGAAACGACATGCTAGAAAGAATTTAAAATAGTAATTATGCTTGGAAAAAATAGTGATCATTTATTAGTGATAAAAATTTATTTTATTACTTGTTGAGGAGGAAACATAACCAAGTTAGAAATATCACTTAAAATTTAATGCTTATTCCCGTTAAATACATGAAAAATGACATTGTCTTTTGGTAAAAACGAAATTAATATTTACTAAGAAATTTATTACATAATTTTACAAAAAAAATAGGAATTAGCTACAAAATTCATCTTGGATAATAAAAATTTGGATGATATGCCGTCATTAAATAGGATTAGCGATGAATTTTATAATGTAAGTATAAAATTTGTTTGTCACCGATTCTTTTTCTTTTTATAATTAACGTCTCTAGAGTACATTGTATCTAGACGATCGTATTGATACAAAACAAAAACAAAAACAAAAACAAAAACAAAAACAAGGGGCCGGATACATAATATATCATCACTAAGCTTTTAAATATATCTTGGTTACGTAGTTATCATGCTTAATTAGGCGATCAACTATTTTATTGACTAAATAGGATTAATATTCGCCATTTTTAAGAGCTTAGATTTTTAAATTTTATTTTATAACTCAAACCTAATTTTAATAATATTTTATGTAATTTTTAAAATTTTATACGTCGTAATAATACACGCGCATCGCGATAACGTAAAACTAGTTATGATAAATATAGCCACTTATAATACCTAGAAGTAGTTCACGAGCCAGGTTGTTGCATTTCATATAACAAGGAAATAAATTTTACTAAATTAAGATGAGTCCTCTTTTATTTCCTCTCCAACAATATTACCAGTTCAAATCAAATGCCTTTAATTAACAAACTAGATGATTGCAGTGGCTTCATTCTTCATTCTATTCTCTTCTTCTCCCAACTTGGTACTTTTAAGGTGACTTTAGAGAAATGTTATAGTACATTCTCACCGCCAAAACATCACATATTGGGGCGCGTGGATTATCGTACTATTTCGACATGACAATACAAAATCAGACATCACCATTTTGTGACTTGTATTGCTTCCCCTCCGTCGAGATTGCGCCTAAGGGCTGGTTGGTTTTGAGGAGTTTTGTGTCTCTTTTTATTGTTAGTGGTAGTACTAGAAAGAAGTAAGTAGTAGCTAGAAGATAAAATAGTACATTCTAAATTCGCTTTCTCAATAAAGTTTTTCCCTTTTTACTCTTTGTTCTGCTTCTCCAAAAATGTGGTCATCAACCAGTAGTAGCAGGGGCATTTCATCTTCTTCTTCTTCTTCCAAATCATCATCATCATCTTCTTCATCTCGTTCTCCATTTTCTCCTTCAAATCATCATCTAAATCCAAGACTTAAAACCATGGAAGAAGTTTGGAAAGACATTAATCTTTCTTCACTTCAAGAACACACTACTACTTACTCTAGAGATCATGATCATCATCAAACTGCTAATTTTGGTGGTATGATTTTACAAGATTTCTTAGCTCGGCCTTTTGCTACTGACCCTCAACCACCACCAGCAGCTTCTCCTGTTCCGTCTACTACTATGTTGAATTTGAACTCAGTTCCAGAGCTTCATTTCTTTAGTCAAAACTCAATATTGCGCCCACCAACACCTATTTCTCAAGTCCCATTTGAGGGCTTGGCTTCTTCAGCTGCTAATGGAAGGAAAAGGGTCCCTGAAACAGAGAATAATTCTGCAGGGGACAGGAGAAATAAAAGGATGATCAAGAACCGTGAGTCTGCTGCTAGATCAAGGGCTAGAAAGCAGGAAAGTAGCTAGCATTTTCTTAATCATATGTCGTTTTAAAATTGTTTTCTGTTGTGTTGTCGATTTTTAGCAATAAACTATGTTTATTCGACTAAAGATGGTCATTGTCCCTTTAAAAAACAAAAAAAAAAAAAACAGAAAAGGACATTACATAAGAAGGGAAAAAAAACATTATTCAGGGGCATGAACATTTTGTTTGGAACTAGTTATTCTTAATCTTTGCTCCTCCTTTTCTTTATATATGTCTTCTTGGTTTGGACAATATGCTAAGTCTTCTCTCTTATTTTTTTCTCATTTGATTTTTCTCCATACTTTCAGGCTTATATGAACGAGTTAGAGCTGGAAGTTGCCCATTTATTAAAAGAAAATGCCAGGCTCAAGAAACAGCAACAACAGGTCCTTTCTTTTTACTTTGTTTTGCTTTTCATTTACTGACATTATTCATTCCGTTAACAACTAGTGATTTATTTAATTAGAAAACAGAATATATAACAGAATCATCATTTTAACTTGTTGTTCTCTTTCATATGGCCAGTTACGCTTAGAAGCAGCTGCTCAAGTTCCTAAAAAGAAGTCTCTCTATCGGACGTCAACAGCTCCATTTTGAGAAAAAGTCTACTACTGTAGTAAATTTTAGAAGACTTAATTGTCAAGTGCTAATTTTACTCTATTGCTACTAGTATTAAAAACTATTTCTGCTACTCTTCCCATTTTCCCTTTTTGTAATATCAACTGTTGTTTCATTGTGGCCTTGTGTGGGCCGGCCGATGAATAGGTTGTGATTTAAGGAAAGTATAGGGCAATATCAAATGGGAAGACGGTTTAGTCTTTTATGGCAATGAAAACTAGCAAATTGGAATTTTTATTTCCCTCTTTTGTTAGTCTATATCATATTTGGTGCTTGTAGTTTGGACCATTTCTGTCCCTCTGCATTCATTTGTTCCAACTACCTTTAGCTTTCTAATGTAGGGATGGCCTTTTATCTGTGCCTACCTAGTTTTTATTTTAAACTAGTACTAAGTAGCTTGTCACAATAGATTTTTAATTTCTAATTTTGAAAGCATTTTTTAAGACTATTGAATTTTTAATAAAAATATTCTGATCATTAGTAGAAAGCATGTTATTAGTTTTGAATATGGGATGTATAAATAAAGTAAAGTGAGTAGTTGGGAGAAGATGAGGCCTCGTGTTATGTCGTACTGTCTGTAGTGTTATAGGTTGGCTGAAATAGAGTATGTTAGGTAGCATCACACAGTAAAAAGTTAGGGAATCATATGTTTGTGGGGAAGGGGATAGAACTGGCTTCTTTTGTTGGAAATAAAACGTTCATTAATTTTCTTTGATCTGATGTGCCATCAATAGTCACTAATTTAGGACCCAAAAGTTTGCTTGGAATATTATATTTAGTGTGTGGCCAAATTTCTAACATTAGTTTATTTTGAAATTTTCGAAATAAGAAACTATCTGTGTTTGACTAATTAGTTTGAAAAGTATTTTTGAGCAACAATTAGTTTTTGATCAAATTTTTAAAAGTGCTTCTAAATGTATTTTCTTAAAAGTTTTTTTTTTAAAAGTATTTGTGAGAAGAATTTACTTTTTTCTGCTTCTTAAAAATTAGTTAACTCAAAACAATTTTTTTTTTCCTTCTCTTGTTGCATTTTGACGTACTACTTTGTTCGTAAGTATGGCAGTCTTGTTGTAAAAAAGTTACTCATCTTTATTTTCCAAAAACTTTAAAACATAATTTGAATGTTAAAAACTTAAAAGGTATTGTGATTCTTTTATTATTCAAAATATTTAGAAGATGTTGGGAAATTTGCAGTCAAAAGTAAAAGTCATTTGACATTTATGTGTTGTTTCTTCTATTCCAATTATATATTGAGTGAAAAGGAGAAAACCCAAAAAGGGAGGAGTCCTTTTCAACAGTCGAATGATACCATCCCATGTCTATTGGAACCTTAGCCCATGTTGTTAACAGATGTTAATGTAGGGCAAGTCTTTTAACTAGGTTCTGACATCTGTAAATGGTGCATCTCTTTTTTATCTGCTCTTTATTTTGGATTTTCCTTTTTCTCTTGTTGCATCATTATATAGGACAAAAGAGGTTTTGGTTAAAGGAATATTATGGGTCCAGTATTTGTTATCCAATGGACTACTTTTGTACCATGTTTAAGTGGAGAATTAATGCATCACAGGATGTATTATGCTTCTCAGTTGAATGGCAGAAAATTGCCACTGTTTATATATCTACTCGGTAATCTATTCCACGAAAAGTTCAAATATATGATAGGTAATTAAATCAAAACCCTTTAAACAATTCGAATTTGTTTCACCAACAGCATCTAGTGTTCTCTCATTTTTCAAATAAACTATACATAGACATCTTGCACATGAAACCAAATGCCTCATTGACTCCTAAATATAGTTCAATAGGAAAACTATCATTTTCTTTGTGAAGAGAATAGTTTCAAAAATAGTAAATTCAGATGAAAACGTGAACAAGTTCATAAACAGTTCGATGCCAATTAGTTTTACGATTAAATTAAAACTCGAACTCAAGCTCGCTGGCATAGAATCATTTGTCTAAAAGAGCTAACTAAGCCGAGCTCACTTGAATATATGGCTTGTTTACAACTTCATCTTCAATACTTCGTAAATTAAGTTTTAACTGATGCTATTCTATGTTCAGAATTGGTGATCAATGAGCAACTGTTAACCAAAAGTATTTGTAAACGTATAAATAAATAAATCGGACAACCTCAATAACAAATCCGTTATCGTCCAGCGGTTAGGATATCTGGCTTTCACCCAGGAGACCCGGGTTCGATTCCCGGTAACGGAATTCTTTTTATAAATTCACAAGTTAGCCGAGACATTAGTTACATTGAAGTTTATCTCAATTTCAACGAGAATATTAAAAGGGCGTAACGTGGCCTACTAGGAAGGATAATTTAAGAGAGAATTTGTGAAAACTTTGGGAGTTACAAAAATAATTTATCCAAATTAAAAGAGAGAAATTAGGAAAAGCAAGAAGTTGTGATTTTGTTTTTGGTATGTTTGTTTGGTCTTCTCTTATTTGACATCATTTGGTCCCTTTTCAATTAAAAAGGAAAAAGTATGTTCATCCTGTTGACGTTAAAGGAGTTTAGTGAATACTTATGATTTATCTTCAGTCAACTTGTTTAGCTAAAAGCAAAAGAAAAAGGCAAACATTAAAGTTATATTCCTCTGTCGTATCAGTCTTATTAAGTTTCCCTCTAAAGAGAAAGTAATAGGTGGGCAATAGCAAATGGACGATAAAGATGAAGCTAACTTGGAATTTATAATAGCTTCTTTTGTCTTGCAACTGAATTCATAGGGAAGTGACAATTCAAAGTCTTGGATTATCCCAATTCTTTAAAGCATTTTTTGAAGATGTCATTGACATATTTTTCCTCTCCTTCCTCTTTCGTGGCAATATTTTCTTTGTGGCTCTTCATCCCAATCTCTGCTTTTTGTACTAAATATGAAGTTATAGGTCAGTAGGTTCCCTTTTATCAATCAGAAAGACTGGTCTAACATTTTATAATGACTGTACTTCATAATTTTTCTTTTCCCTATTAGTTATGTCAGTCATGAGATTAGAGTATAACATTTTATTATGAGTTTGCTCCCATAATTGGCCATCCAGTTCAAATTAAATTGTAGTTTTTAAGTGACTCAAACAACTCACAATAAGTTGACATCTTCTTGAATGAGTAGTATAACTAAGAGGATGTTGGTTTCCCCCGGTTGCTGGAGTGAATAACGCTAAGAATCGAAAAAACTTTTATACAAGACTTTTGTCCTTTTAAACTGTCAAAGATGTACAATTAAAACTAGAGATAAATGCACCCCAAACAGATGGGTGAGACCCTTTTCTTTTTTCAAACAACAACCTTTTGTAGTAACAAAATATAGTGCCATGTAACTAAGAAATGCTTTAAGCAAGGATGTTGTTTGCTTTGTCACAACTCCTCCACTCCAACATTATCAACATGTTATTATTCTGTACAGTTTTGATCAGAAGCCAGCAACATGAAATGAGGAAAACCAAATGACCATCTCCTCTGTTAACGCTGCCTCTAACTTCTTTCCATCTTCCAAAGAAAACCGACAAACCGGACACGTTTTCCGGTCACCATCTAACCATTTATCAACACAATCACGATGAAATTCATGCAAACAAGGCAAGACTCTATTGTCATCTCCATCTTTCAACTTTGACAAGCACACACAACACCATTTTTCACCTAGTCCAGCCACTTCATGTACTCTTGATTTATTCTGATTGACGGCTTGAATCAACTTTAACATCAATATATCTTTGAAAGTAGAGATTGAGATCAACAATTTCTTGAAAGCCATTGGGGTTTAAGAGAACCGAGGAGAAACATTTTAATGTGGTTTTTAATAAGAAGTGGTGGTATAAGGAGAAAGGTCTACAAAAAGGTGGTTGCTCAGTTAATTTGCGTGGTTTGGAAGAGTGGTTAGGAATGAGAGAAAATAAGGATTTTTAGTGTTCTCAACAAAGCAGTAGCACCAACAAAGACTGCAACTTGTAACCATTATTTTAGGACATGCGACTCTAATGTTGTGTCTTAAACATGGTTGTTGAGTTCCAACTCTTAGCTTAATTATTCAGTCCATGTTTCACTGAAATACATATCTTAAATCCTAAAATTGATACCATATTGCCATGTTACATAAATTACGAATTGACAGTGCTGCTTGAACAGTCACTTCTATTCATATTAGACATGCGAAAAGGTTTTCCGGACTGTTGTAATATTTATTGGTAGAAGTCTTCTATAAATATCCCCCACCTAAACTATAGTGGTTATAAAGCATCAAAAGTTTCTGTTGCTTGAAAACGACATCGTCACTTTTTTTTTCTTTTTTCCATCGTCACTGTTTCACCTTTCAAAACAACGACATTAGCAATTTTCCTCCGTTAAGATCTTATAGGAGGCGAGGGCGAATTGATAGGGTAGTTTATGAGGCACGTGAATTCATAGTCTTTCCGTCATAGATATTTTATGTATGTATTTTTTAGAAGTAGTTTAATATTATCTGTTGGCACTCATGATTTCCAAAGATTGAATGGTGCAATTGGATGAATGGTGAGTTATTTACGGGAAGGAATATCAATTAATTCCCACTTAATACTTCTTTTTCTCTTTTCTTTAATGGTGCACCCATGTTTTAGAAATCTTAAATCCCACTATGAATTTGGATGAAATCTACATTTCTTCCACCTTGGTGTTCTGATAGGCAGTACAAGAATAAAATAAGATTGTATTAAGTTGTCACGACCCAGTTCACCCTCCATGAACATGTCGTAATGGCACCTAGTTTCCTACAACTAGGTAAGTCTAACAATGCGGAAAATAATATAACTTGCGGAAAACTTTGAACTAAACCAAGCAAAATTTGAAGAAAACTGTATACAGGTGCCACATGGCACATACAACTCAACAATAAATCGCGGAAGTCTAAGATCTCATCCCAAAACCCGGAAACTCACAGGAACCACAGGCTAATAGAAATGTATACGATACTCTAACTCTAGAATATCTAAACAAATGAAAGAAAAAGGATAAGCTAACTACTAAAGCTGGAACAGAATAGAGACTCCTGGTCTGCGGACGCGGCAGATATACCTCGAAGTCTCCGCTAGATCTCTCCGGACCTCAAGGATAGTGCGCCTGAGTGGAGGTACCTGGATCTACACATGAAAAACATGCGCAGGAAGGGCATGAGTACACCACAGCGGTACTCAGTAAGTGCCAAGCCTAACCTCGGTTGGGTAGTGACGAAGAAGGTCAGGGCGCTACTGAGGTAAAA